AGATGTTGGATGCTGCAGATGTTGGATGCTGCAGATGTTGGATGCTGTCTATCATGGAGCACTAAGATTCATAACTGGCTGTAACTACCGTACCCACCACTGCACCCAGTATTCACTGGTTAACTGGTCACCATTAACTTCACACAGACTCTCTCACTGGTACATTTTCATCTTTAAATCACTTCCTGGTCTGCTGCCTTCATACATCTCCTCCTACATGTCTCTGTGTGAGTGCAGCTACAGCGTGCGCTCTCAGGACATCATTACCTGCAGTGTTCCCTCAGTGAGGACTGAACTAGACAAAAGGACCTTCTCCTACTCCGCTCCTGTTTCCTGGAATATCTTGTAAAAAGACCTGAAGCTCTCGACCTTTGACCTCTCTAAGTGGCTTCAAACATCTGATAAGTTCCTGCAGATGTTCCTGTTTGTAGTTTTCTACATCGTTTTATAATCTAGCTGTTTTTGTTTTGTTTTAATACCATTTCTTTCATCTTTTTCAATGTATTTGCTTTCTTTCATGATCGTCCACTGTTGTCACCACTCTTTGTTAAACCAGGTCTCTCTTGTAAACGAGTCCTGGAGGCTCAGTGAGACTAACCTGTAGAAATAAAGGTTGAATGAATGATCACCTGTCTGTCTGCCTGACCTCCTGCAGGAGTTCTTCAGACCCGGTGTGTCAGGAGGTTCTGTGGGCCCTGGGTGCCGGCTGCAGGAATATCAGCAGCCTGCAGGTGGCACCGGTTCACCCCAGGTGAGTTGTGCAGGTGGACTCAGGTGGACTCAGTGTTCAAGATCCTACTCATCTCATCAAAGTTTGAAACAGAAATATGAAAGTTTTCTTCTTCAGCGTGAAAGATAAATATTTTCCTGACAGAACAGGATGTTTGAGCTCCTGAAAGCTTCAGATTTGTTTACTGTCAATCAAAGTGGAGGGTTTGTTTTCACCAAAAAGGGGCGGGGCTTCATGTAGACGGTGTCTCTGGTCAGTGTTGCCAGGTGTACGATAATTATCGTATTTGTAGACAATTTTGCCCTCTGTACGATCAATAACCCAAAAAAAGGCCAAATATATGATAATTGGACCATTCTGCGAATGTGTGGTTGTCATCGGTTGTCATCAGCCTCTCGCACCTGTCTGCCCGAGTTTTTTTGTGAACCGTGAAGGCATCTGTGTCCGCAAACAGACGCACGATTGGCTGGAAATTCCAGCCAATCGTTCTTTTCTAAATGTGACCTACGAGTGACGTGTATGCGTTTGCCTCAGAACAACGGCCATGATTGGATGAATAGTCTGCTGCGCCCGCCCCATGAGTGAGGACAAGAAGAAGAAGCAGAGCCGGTCTGGAAGCGGACCCGTCACTACTATAGTGCATCAATAGATTTGTTATTCTGGTTATGACGGGTGTACGATAATTTCCCTCAAAATACGATCACTTTATGTCTCTAGTACGATAATCCCACATTTCTCACCTGGCAACACCGTCTCTGGTTAAAGTAAACCAACGTCGTAATGAGCTGTTTCACAAAGAGCTCCTTCACCCGTTGTGTGTTTTTCTTATGATCAAAGACTTTAGTCATTTTAGAACATAGAACTGAATCTACTTTTAAAATTATTCTTAAAATTAGTTTAGCTGCTCCTGATGCTCTGACTGGGTCATGACCCACAGGGGGTCCAGACCCTTAGTCTGAGAACCTCTGGCGTAGAGGATAAGAATCCAGACACGATGCGTTACAAGCTTTGAGCTCTGAACTTTGTTTTAATAATTTACTCCATATTTGTAGCTCATGTTGACTGAAGTGAACAAGACGTTTATCAAATTGTTTGTTGTTTCAGCCAACAACCGACTCGTTTTGATGACCGCTGCCTGCAGACGATTGGACAATGCTGGCCACGCCTCCTGTCACTCGGTGTGGGCGGGGCTAGCTGCAGCAATCAGGGATTGGTTGCTGTCGGTGAGTAGAACCGCCTTCTGATATCATGACTCATCAATAAGCTGTAAGTGAACACTGACTCAGCATTTTTGTTCCATGGTTTAGTTTTTTCCGCACGTTTTTAACAAACGGCTCGAAACTCAAAACGTTCGGCTCGATCAGGAATACTTTGAGATTTTTATACTTTTTAAAGAAATACTTTTAAATCATTTCAGCTCCTTCAGAAAATGTAGCTCTTTTAAGTCTGCTTCAGCTGCGGGCTCTTATGTTACATTTAGCTTTTAGCTGCTACATTTAGTCCCACCAACACACCGTGCACGGATTTTCTTTCATTAAAACCCTGAAATAACTCGTATTTTATTAAATTTGTTAAAAAATTGTTCCATCAGCCACGAGTTCAAATATTAAAGACGTGTCTGTGTGTGTGTGTCTTTTGTATGTGTTGTGTGTGTGTTGTGTGTTGTGTGTATTTTGTATGTGTTGTGTGTATTTTGTATGTGTTGTGTGTATTTTGTATGTGTTGTGTGTTTTGTGTGTATTTTGTATGTGTTGTGTGTGTTGTGTGTATTTTGTATGTGTTGTGTGTGTTGTGTGTATTTTGTATGCGTTGTGTGTGTTGTGTGTATTTTGTGTGTATTGTGTGTATTTTGTGTGTGTGTATTTATTGTGTGTTGTGTGTATTTTGTATGTGTTGTGTGTGTTGTGTGTATTTTGTATGTGTTGTGTGTTTTGTGTGTATTTTGTGTGTGTGTGTATTTTTTGTGTTTTGTGTGTATTTTGTATGTGTTGTGTGTTTTGTGTGTATTTTGTATGTGTTGTGTGTATTTTGTATGTGTTGTGTGTGTTGTGTGTATTTTGTATGTGTTGTGTGTGTTGTGTGTATTTTGTGTGTGTGTGTTGTGTGTGTGTGTGTGTTTTGTGTATTTTGTATGTGTTGTGTGTGTTGTGTGTGTTGTGTGTGTGTGTAGTGCGTAGCTGCCCTCTCCTGCAGCACCTGGAGCTGGAGCGTCTCTCAGACCTCAGCCTGCAGGTGGTGACAGAGCTCTGTGGTTCTGGACTGACCAGTCTGCGGACCCTGGTTCTGAGCCACACCCCGGTCAGCGGTCAGGCCCTCCTGCACCTCCACAGTGAGCCTCTCCTCTCCTCCTCATGGTTTTCTCCTCCAAACTCACCTGCAGCGGACTAACCCCTCCTCTG